AACACTAGTTCGGATACAAGCCAGAATGCCATTGGCCTTCTTGGCCACCTGGGTACATTACTGGCTCATGTTTAATAAAGATGAGAGGATACAGAAGAAGGTGGGAGTTAGGAGTTTCCTAATCTGTACATTCTAACATAATTTGTGCATTCCTTCTCCTCAATTTTGCCTCTGAGCCAGAATTCATGGCCACTTGTTGTGTGCTTTGATTGGAAATGACTGAAGATATTATACTGGAAAGAACTGTTGCATATCTGGGTTATGTACTTTTGCATATGTGCTAGGATGCTTGGGCTTTCCTAGAAATCTCAGTATAATATTTTGATGAAATAGTTAGGTACATTATTTAGGTCACATATTTTGGAAGATAATTTAGAAAACATTTAGGGAAAAAAATCCACAAAACAGGCAACATATGTTTCCCTCTTTGTCTTCTACCTTTAAAAGTTAATTTAGATTATATACTGTACATGATATTAAGATATTACAATTGTACTGAAGAATAAAAACATTTTAAAAAATTGAATCTATCTTTGAAATGGTTTAAAGAAGCACTATAAATATTAAAAATCCTATATAATAATGGCATTTTATTAGTTTATTTTTGATTTATTGTTTGTTTGCCTATTACAGGGTGCAGCTTGATAGTGGAGGTACTGTTTAGTGTCTTTATGATACAATTTAATGACTTAAAACTTGAATTGTTTTCCAGGAGAATTTCTGACTTCCTTATTTTTTGACTACTCAACAATCGGATAATGACAACGTATGTGGAACAGTTTTTAATCTTAAGTGATGAATATTTATTCAGTCTCAAGATAGATTTTTTGCTTGATAATATTTATATGTGTTTCTATGCAAATTCATAACTCACATTTCTTCTGGTTGTGATTAAAAAGTTATTAAAAGAAACAAGTGTCCAAACACCATCCTTTTCTCAAGCACTTCAAAGCACTGCACACTAATGGAGCATGGTACTAGGTCCAGTTTTGAAGTAGAACCACAAGATGGTAGTAAATGAGAAATAGTGAGAGGAAGAGGAAATCCATGGAAATGAGGGTTATTCCTTTTAGGTACATCATCTATAACAGGTCCTGTAATGTTAGAGAGAAAACAACAAAAACGTTCGCTCCAAAATTCATAGGAAGACATGAACATTTTTGTCATTGTGTACTATCCATGTCCTTAACATTAACATTAAATGGCTTAGTCTCTAGAGGGAGAAAGATAGTTACATGACCAAATCACTGCCTTATGTTCTTGTTTTTTTCTGTGATCGGTTCAATCATGTGTTTATGCACCAAAGTCATTAGAACTGCAATGGTAATCAGAAAGAGGAAATGGTCTCCATCTATCATCCTGTTTCTAACAAGAAGAGGTAACAGACCATTTTAGTTACAGTGCATTAATGCTCATTACTGCCCTAATGAAGATTTGTGTTGCTTTTCCAAGAACCTTGAAGCTAATCTTCAATTTCCTCCTAGCTTTCAAAGAAACACCAGTTTTCACATGACTTCAGCCTATTGGAGCAAGTATTAGTGTGACCGTTATAAAACATAGTTTCATCGGGGAAATTAATATGAAAAACACAAGGTAAAATCTAGTTATTACTGTGGCTAAATCCTGTGAGTTTGGCAAACACTGACTGACTCAATCCCTTTGATTGTGCCCAGACCTTTCTCCTAGCAGCTGTATCTATACTGCTAACATATGGCTAGTATTAAACCATTACCTATGAAACTATTATCACATATTCAAGCCTATGTGACTGTGATATATTATAGTAACCATATGGCCACTGAATATCTTGCCTAAACTTGATTTCTACATAACTGGGCTCAGTATTATTTCAAGTACCTCCATTCTTACAATGAAGCACTCAGGCTGCAATGGGAAATCCCAAATGATCTTAGTAGATGACTTTTTGTGATGTGTCATATGCCATTACAGCACTCACGTCTCACAGTGAGTATTGCTTGGAAACTGGCTTTCCTTTGAGCAGTGTTTGCTGTGTTTATCCTGTCCTGGTGAGATTAAGTTCCAAAGGAGCTGCATGCAGGGCTGATTGCACGTCCCAGAAAGGAAGACATGCCACAAAACCTGATTTTCTGGTGCTCCATGTCACTGCTGTCTTGGGGCTGGACAGAGTTAACAAGCAGACAAGGGACTGAACTTTCACTTACTATGTAGGCATTAGGAAATGTGTCTTCTCTAAACAGTGGATTCAGGGTTTTGCTCTGGTTCTGCATCCAGAATTGGGTGTTTGCTCAGACTGAACACCTGTTCAAATATCTTGCTCTATCAGACAGCCTCAAATGTCTGAGACTCCCTACACATAAGGAATTACTTTCCTGAGTTTTGTTTAAGCATCTGTTGAAACACGTTCATCCTTGGTAATTACTTGCCATTTGGACACAGAGAATTCTAAAGAAAGGAAGTACCTTAGTGGACTTAGGAACATTCACATACATCCTAAGGAAAGACTAACTTGAGTGTTTTTGAAAAGCTTTAATTTTGTTGGCAGGGCTACTGGGAACTAAGAAAGCCCTTTACACTTGGAAACAAGCTTGCCAAACCATTTCCTTTGCGTATCTTGTTCTGCAGAAGTAACAGAATATTCCATTCCTGCATATTTTAATAATGCCAAGGGAAAAGGTGTATGTAGAGTCAAGGAAAGCAGTTTTCTGACCAGGCTGTTCCTGCCTATTTGCATGGTTTATGTGTAACAGTGGTGACACACAATTCCTCCTTCCTGTGGAAAGGATATCCGTCATGAAGAGAAGCTCTGCTGTTCTCTGAAAGTTTGACCTCTTTCACTGGTAGCAGCTTGGCAGGTGTTTGTTTTAATTTTTAGATATGTGACTTGCAAAAATTAAAATGGGCTCTAGGGATCTGACCATCGTTCTATTTTACATCTGCTTTCTCAGCACAGCTCCATGGCCTTGATTCATGTTGGTGTGAATGAGAAGACGATTGGGCTCTGAGTTTCCATTTTTTTACTATGCAGGAAAACTAACGTTATTATAAAGAGAAGCAGTTTAAGAATACTGTGGAGTATGTCTATATGGAGATATAGATCAGTGACTTGGATTAACATATGGCAGTCAGTTCTGTGCCCAGTAGTAGGTATTTGAAGAATAAAGAACTTAATTGTGAACAGCTGTTTCCACATACTTAATAAAGTGTGCATGGCCAGTTCGAGCTCTATAAAGTGTAAAACATAGTTTTATAAAACACATACTGGGGCCATGCACATTTTTCAAAGTGCATCAGCCATTCTGACTTCTAAGTCCTGTCTATCCTTTGGTTTCAGAGGCAGATCTCTGAAAATATTTTTCTTGTTTTTTCATAGTGTAACAGGCTTGGATGATTCCCTAATATTTGTTAAAAATGTGGCTGTTCTTATGCAAAAGGAGCACTAAGTTATTTTTATTATAGATGTCTTTCCACCTCAACTATTCTGTTTTGCAACATTAAAAGGAAGAAAGGTTAGCGGTTAGGAATGGTTTTGTTTCAGTTTGGCTTATGGCTTCAGAACTATCAAGAATATTAGTATCCCAGGGGAGCTGTGAGGGATCAGAAATTAATAGTATCTAGTTAATCTGCAACATATCAGCTGGAACTGAGAGTCCTGGGCTCTAGAAATGATCTGCAGCTGTTACTCATTCAGCTGTCAATCCCATGCTTTGCTTTTCAGTAATTACGATTAACAAACACTAAGGTGTGTGACCAGCCACAGAGGTTTGAAAGGTCTTTGGGACATGAGCAACTGATGTGTTTTCGTACTTGTTTTGAATGCAGGAGTCAAGTGGTCGATTTTCACCAGTGCCTCTGCTCTGGGGTTTTGTCTCTACTTCCAGTGGGTATCAGTTCTGGTCCTGTAGAGTGGCCACATACACTACTTGGTTTTCAGATGAGTCCCTCTGATGTAGTAGGTCAAAATTGCAAGCTGATTTTTTTGAATAATTTTTTGGTTCTAGAGAGCAGCAAGTATTCTACAACTTCCTTTAGGGGTCAAGGACTTTCAGTTCTGAATTTAAGCTGATTCAGGGAAGAAGTGGAGAAACTCTGCAGTGGGTTAAGCAATCAAAGTAAGACATCTGGGTGGGAGAAGACAGCTTTAAGGAATAGGTTGTGCTACAGGTTTTAAAGGCATTTTGAGAATTGCTGTATTTTAGCAGAGGTTTGACTAAATTAGACTAAACCAAATCTCAGCAATAGGTTTAATAGAAGGAATTTGCACCTGTTGAAATAAATCCCCTGTAGAGAGGACCTTCCTTAAAGTTTCCACATCTCTACCTGAAATACATAAACATCAGTTTTGGAAGTACATATTTCTACATTTTACATGAATGCACAGTATTCTGCCAGTCAACACTAAGTTTGTACAAGTAAAACTAAATAATAAGAAAATTTATCAATAAAGTGTGGACAAATGAAGATCAAAAGGGTTTTAAACAGTCTATAAATCTCTTCCCTCCACTTCCCAGTTTCTATGCTCCTGTATCTTCATTTGACCTTTAAGCCCAGAAGAATAAACTTGCACATCCAAAATAAATAAATGAATAAACAGAGTGGGAAAATTTTTTTCTTCTTGTTATTTGACCCCAGCTCTTACATGCATCTTGTTCAATGTCTAAGCAAGTAATGCTAAATGAACATGAATATTATCCAGCACAAAGTCAAGTAAGGTCAGCAACACTGAAGGACAATTACTTGTTGGCATTTTTTAGTTAAGTGGTCATGTGCATGGCTCTTTGAGCTCAATTATCTTTTACTTTAGACTTTTGGATGTTTATTTTTAATAACAGAGGAAAAAAGATCTCCCAGCTTCCTGCTCTTGATCCCTTTCAGGTTTCCAAGAAGCTTGGGCTCTTCGGACCTGCTTCCTAGTGTGGCCAACGGCTCCCAACCGCCGCACATCTCCAAAGCGGACCTGGCACTAGAGGGCGATGGAGACATACACTTTTGCCAATGTGTCTCAATTTGTTAGAAAGCAAACCCAGAGGAATAAGATATTAATTAGCAAGTTCTTGAAAGAAGGGTGTGCTACTGCTCTGCTATCCTCATTAACTTCTGTTCTCATACCTTCTCTCTGGATTCTGCTTATTAAATTGTTGTCCCTCAAATCCTGTGATAGTTCTCCACGTTCCTTCCTTCCTGTTATTATCACTTCCTACCCTTCAGAATTGGTGCTCTGTTTTCATGTGACCCGAAACTTGTTTCCAACTCCTGATCAAGGGTATTCTCCTCAGAAGTCTCTCTTCTGTTTTTCAGTCTTTGCTTTTCACTCTGGTCTTTCCCTGATGTTATTCATTCTCCATCCATCTTTCTGTCTGTCCATCCTGCCCCTTACTCAAGGAATCACTCTCATTATACATCCTGTCCCAGCCTGCACTGAAAAAATGCAAAAGCCATGAGGATGTGAAAATAAGAGGTAGAAGGTACATCATCATCTGTGCTACTGATTAGGATAGTGAAAAGAAGAGGCTATGTCTTGGTCTTTGTGCCTAAATTGTCCATCCATGGTATAGTACACAAATAATTCATAAACAGGTACCATAGCTAGGATTTCCTGTAACCTGGATAAGTGTTGCAATCACTGAACTTTAGTAGCATTTAGTTTAGCTCCTTCAGGAGGAGTGGAGCATCCTTAACTGTTCAGTGATGATCTGTGGAGCCGGTAAAAGCAGCTTGACCTCTGGCTGAGGGAGGCTGAAGCCTGGATCATTTGCTGCCTAACTGCTAAGGTTGCTGTATGAAATTGGATGGGGCCGAAAGAGATCATGGATAAGCCTGTCAGTTCCTGAACTGAGATTCCTGAACTCCAGAGAAGACATCAGGATACCCTGCATGGAGTTTCCCCATCCGTCAGCTCGAGGCTGCTCTGTGTTCATACAGATATCAGTGTGCACTGTTGTGTATCAAAGGCAGATGGAGGAAACTGTCTTCTCTGCTGTGTGCAGGCAGCTTCAAGAGGTGAAGAGGTGCACTAGTGGTTAGGAGGCAGAAGTTGTTTGTGCCTGTGACTGGTGGTGGGAAGCTGTGCCTGGCAATGGGAAGCTGTGCTTGGCGATGGGAAGCTGTGCCCCTGACTCTGCACAGCATTCTCTGCTGCTAGAGGCTTCTCCCTTTGAGGTTGCCAGCTTTTCTTCATTTGTGAGCACTGCATCCCATCAGAAATGTTGTGAACTGTGCTGGTGGCCTGATTAGGCTGTGTGGGATTAATCATGGGTTAAGCTGCTCTCAAGGAAAATTTCTTCTGATGCATATAGGCAGAAAGAGAGCTGCCACTCAGTCATCTGCCTCAGTCCATACAGTTTTTATTATCCTTCCATGGCTTCTCAAACCTAGGACTTCAATCACTTGGAAGTTCATTCTGGATTTGTTACTTGAGAATCTTTTTCTCTTTACAGAAGACTCAGGATTAATTCATAGAAGAGATCTGTAGATCTGTCATCCCACTTTCAATATTCTTTTTCTAGTAGCAAATAAGCCACACATCCCCCACAGGCAACTCCAGGCTAGACATTGTCTCTATGGTCATAACTTCATAAAGGCACTTGAAAGAATGTGTAAGTGGAAAAAATAGAATAATGAGAAGAGTGGGAAAGAAACCCCTCTAAGCCACCATAATTTTTTAAGAGCACACTGAAAATTGCATCAATGAACAACACAGTCCTGCAAATGGATGATTCAACTTGCATTTTACTTTTCACAGCTGCATGCCACTCAGTGTCACTTACTTGCTCATGTCATATTGCCCTCTCTGAGCCTGATGGGCATATTCTCAGTTGCCATGAAGACAAAAACTCACCAGGCAAATGATACAATGCTCCCAAACTCCATGACACTGTAATGCAGACAGTTCTTGAAAGCATCAATTTTTAAGTTACTAAGGTGACAAATATTTCCTTCTCCTCCAGAAAAAACAATCTCTCACCTCATCACTGAGAGATGTGATTCCAGCTGTATTTCCCTGGAAATGAAATGATAACAGGAAGGTATATGATTGAGAATGAGAAGGTATTATACAGACTGGTATTCAAATTCATTATCAGGCAGTGAGACTGATGACTCAGAGTTAGAAAAAAATGAAACAACCAGAGATCGCGTTTCAGTCAGTGCTCATAACAAACCTGAATTCCCATTTGCACAGCTCATATACATGGGAATTACATAGCATGCTTAGAATCAATTTGCATATGCTGTTTCTACTCAGTCACACAACAAATAATGTATTAGGAGTGCATTTTAATGCACTATATTATCATACAGCTTGAAATGCTGTCTGCTGTTAACGTGCCTTTTGAAGGCTGTGTGCATGCATGTGTGTTCGTTCTCACTTGCTCATTCACTCACTGTTCCTGTTAGCATAAGGAAGTCTTCTACGTGAGGAACCAGATTAAAAAGAGGTGAATTTGGGAATTGAGGAGTTTGGTAGAAGTAAGAGATAGACATGAATCTTTCAAACTGAAGGTTTAAATCCCTTCTTTGGCACTGGAGAATTCTCTAATATGCATGCAGATTTCAGAATCTGGGCCAGCGTCCCTGCCAAGGCAGGCTCATGTGGTCTCCATCTGGCCTCATCCTCCGAAGAGATCAGGCTCTTCATTAAGTGCAGAACTGTGATCTCAGAGCTGACCAGTCTGAGTGGATCTGCTTTGACAATGTATTTTTTTTGCTGTGATGATTCACTAGTTCTACAACTTGCTAAGTACCAAAGAACTCCAGAATGTGCTGCATCACTAGTTGATTTATGATCACTGATAGTAAAACCAAAACTTGACAAATACATCTGCACTCTGTTTTCAGTGATCAGAAAAGTAAAGCACAGCCACCTCCTCAACCCAACAACTATGCATCAGTTCATCAGATTAAGCAAAACAAAACTACATTTTGAATTTCAGCCTTTCTCTTGCCATATTGTCTGGTGAAAATCTGGGTGTCATAGAGCAGGAGGAGATCAACACCTTTGCTTTACTTGCTATTCAGCTATTTTCAACAGCCATTCTGCCTTTCCTTCCAACAGAGTGCTTGGAACAAATATTGTCTGATGTGCCTGAAGAGAGGCTGTGAGAGCTGCACAGGCCTTTTGAACTGCAAGAAGCTGAATAAGTGACAGAGCTCTTTCTCATGTCATTCTGTGCAAGTGCTCCTGATGCTGTCCCTTCAGTGATGATCTCCCCAGGACAGTACTGCTATCTTAATCCCTTCCCTTTCCTCCTCTTCCTGGGGATGATGGATGAATTTACGCAGACACTCATACATCATGTCTTACGCTGGGTTCTCTTCTTATCGCTGTGTATCAGACTTTTCAAGTGACTCAGAGGTAAATTAAACTGTATTTCAGAAATGCAAACTAAAATACGTTAGGGCCTGTTTTCTAGCTAGAAGGCTGACAGCTAAAAATGTCCTGTGAATCTGACCAGCTTGGAGCTTGAATATATGTTCCTCATTGCTGGCTGTTAAATAGCATTGGACTTGGTATGGATTTTATTATTCCATTTTCTGTGCGTTATTAATGATCAAAAGTGATGTGCTAAAAGGTTTACACTAAGATGTGCTATATTAGTGTTTACAAGACACAAACGAGGCAATTATCTCTCTTTTTGGGTTTGTTTGAATGGTTTTGATGGCTTTAACTGTTTTTAGATACTTGAGGAATGCTTGAAAAAAAGTAAGGAGGACCACATCAAGAGAGAAGAGAGACACTTGGTTGTTCCAAAGATCCCAACAGACGCTGGTATCTTTGAGTAGCTAGCAGGCACTTAAAAAACCCTCTTCACTGTGGTAATTTTAATAATAATATTTTAGTGTACTTTCTAAAATATGTAAATGAAGAACAGTCTTGCAAACATACACCATGTGGTTCTACTGAGAACATGGATGTCACAGTTTAAATCCTCAAATGTTCTTTTGCATATTATTTAAATAATTTGTGGTCATCTAGGTACTCCCAGGAAATACTAGTTATTTTAGACACATTGAAATCACAACTTCATTGTAAAATCTCTCTGCAGTTAAGATCTCACCCTGGAAGACAATGAAGTCTTAAATTTTTACTTAAGAAGATAACTTAAAAGGGTAATTCATCATGAGCTTACCTGAACAGAGCACAGTCCACTTATTGTGTATGTCAACAGTTTCCTAACGTAATGTTGTCTCATTACTTATATTCTTTCCATAGGAAGGGTGCTAGGTTATCTCTGCATTACATAGTGCTTGATTCTGGAATAATAAAAAATTAGCCTTAAACCTTATTCCAGAGATAAAGAACTGCAGAATTAACTTACATCACCTACTACTTGGTTGTACTAAATGCCATAATATACAACAGCAGAATAACCTTCAGAAGGTTGGCATGCACAGGTAACACTAAAACACACGGTGATGTACATTGACTGTAGAGAGCATGTTGTCCTCATTCCCTGTTGTGTGCTCTGTTAGACACAGATAAGTTATTACTGGGTCGTAACTGACTTGTGGGGACTTTGTGTGTGTGTGTGTGTGTGTGGAGAGGGAAGGGATGGGTTGAACCTCACAGAGGTGGGGTGGCATCATATCCCTCATGGCAGCCATTGGAACCCACATGGGGAAGCCTTGGAGTAGCTGTCACAGACAGCCTGGGAAAACTATAACACACCACACCTCCTGCAGCCCCTAACCCAGCCTCAGCCTGACAGATTCAGTGAGAACACTGCCCCTCACCCTGGCCTGGAACCTCAGAGTGGCTAGTGGGTCAGAGACCCTGCCTGGGGGAGTTGGCCGTGGGGACCAGAGCAGGTAAAACCAAGGGCATGTGTTTGCCTCGTGTCACAGCCCTGCCATCTGGATGTGTGAGAGCTGGTCTTTTACAAGGCTTCGGTGGTAGCTATCTCTCCTTCTTTCTCCTTCTCTCTTCTTGATCCTTGTGTTTCTCTTTCTTTGTTCCTTTCTTGATGCTTGGGGTAGTTTGGAGCTGGAGGGATTGAACTTTGATTTAAGTGTTGTTGTTGGATTGAATCTTGATTTAAGCATTGTGGAATTATTTGGATTTTGCCTTAAATGTTGTGGATTAATAGTATATGTTGAATCATAGTGGAACATTTTTTGTCTAGCTTGTGTGGTGTCCTTTTGAACTTTGGCCAAGTCCCCTTATTTACTCCCCTAAATTAATAAAGCAATTCCTTGGGAACAAGTCCATGGTTTATTCTCTTGATGCTATCTCAAGGTATTAAAGAACCCTATATAGTACAGTAAACTTCATAGCCAGTCCTGTGAGCCAGCAGCTCCCGGGGCTGGAGTTTTACATGCTCCTCACTTCCTCTTCTGTACTGGTTGCTATTTATGTGGACATCATATTATAGAGGTACATACTTCTCCTGACTTTTAGAGAATAAATAAATGAGTTTCAAGCATGGTTGCAGAATTTGCTTGATTAACTCAAGAATGATGAATATCTAGTCTTACTGGAAAATCCATTTTAATGCATTGTACAAACACTTACATGAGAGATAGCCTGTTGACTGTGTATATAATATTTTCTTTCCCACAGGCTGAAGCATATGGGATTTAACTGCTACACTAGGAATAACACATCCATATTGCACATATGGCACAATGATGTGAGCAACACAGAACTAGGACACCATCAAGGAAGATGAAGAGTGGTTTCATTTAAACATGAACACACAGAGATGTGAACAGCAGGGCTAAAATATCAGATGTTTGGATAGAAACTGCTGTGGGAAGGCAGTGTCTTTGCTAGCCCTCACTGCATAAAGTACAGGATGAGAAGCAAAAGCACTGATGGGCCTTGTGTTGGTGCTGACTAGGACAGATCCTATTCTGCAGTGACTGGATTAAAAAACATAAAAGAGAATACAAAGAAAGACCCACTCTGAGTATTGCTGCAGTTACTGCTTTAACAAGTTGCTGAATTCAGGTCTGCAATTCCAGCAAAAATGATGTGGACAATTTGTTCCCCTGCAGTAACATCTGCAAGCAAGACAGCTCGATGGCCTTTAATTGATGTGAGACCATCTTTGGGTGGATGAACATTTCTGAATGGGAAATAGGAAATAAAATTCTTCTAGCTTCAAAAAAAAAAAAAAAAAAGAGTCAGGAAAACTAAGACAGACCTTTCTGCAGAAACTGAAAAGTACTTTTCAGAAAGAGAGTACCTATTCTCTAGAACTGTTGTTAGCGAAGTCATGTAGGGTGGAATTTCATCTACCTCTGCTCTCTTGGCCTGTGCAAGAACAGGGCCATCAAATGAAGCCACACAAAAAGCTTCAAAAGGAAAAAAAGTGGTGGTTCATTATGGTATTTGAGAAAGTTCTGGATGTTTAAAATATGCATAAGTGTAAGGGAACAAACTAACAGAAGAGAAATTGCTTCAAAACACTTATAAATGCTCATAATTTTGTTTGTTTGTTTGAAAATATTTGTTGAAAGTTAAAAATGACACTAGTTTATGCTCTCACATGAGCAACAGAAAGACGATGTCAGTTGTGTCTGATGAGTGGGAAAGGAGAAGAAATGGGGCAAAGAGGACTACTGTGTCCTTGAGAGGGCCTGGGAATCCAAAGACCTCTGTTTCAGTGAGCACAATGGTCCTCATGGACATTTCCACAGTTCGTGGAAATGGTTGGTTGCAAAGAAGGCTAAAACAGGCCTCAGAAATTGGCCATTGCATACAGTCATCCTCCACATCTCCCACATACTTCTCCTTGAGTATCTATGGCTTTGACCAACACTTCTTTGAGAATTCTGCTGAATTTATCAGTGGACCATATAAAATAGAACTAGATTACTTGTCTGCTCTAGAATTCACATAATAGGTAAGTTTTATGAATGCTTCAGGTGCCTGATTTAGAGTGGGACTCTCAGTCTTCCTCCCTTTCTTAGGCTATAATTCTATAAACTTAGTTGCACATCCACTGTCTTTAGGGAGTGAATACTCTAAGACAGCTTGACACTGTATTTTTGAGCTGATATATTTGATTATAAAAAGAAGTTTTGCAAAAAGTGGTTGATTTTTCAAAAATGCGGGTGCAGCTGAGCTGAAATTATTAATGAATTTAAGTAAAAAGGAGTTACTCAATCTCTCTCTTTTTTTTTGAACACACATGAAAAAAATATAAATACTATAAATATTCAACTTTTTATTTTAAAATAAAAAAAAACCCAAACAAAAAAAACCCAACTCAACAAAACCCCTTATGTCTCTCCCTTTAAAAAATGAAGTAAAGTACCACATCTTTTTCCTGAAAAACTAATTCTGCAAATATCTCCTTTGCATCCATGCAGCTGATGGAATGTAATGTGCTGAATATCTTTAAATGATGTTTACTTAAATATCTAAATTACATGAAAGGTACCAACAACTTTAATATTTTTTCCCCCAGACATGCATATGCAAAGGAAAGGAAAAATGATTTATTTAATCTGGCCCAGAATATTTCTTAGAAGACTGATAACTTTTGATGGAAAGCTCATGATCTCTCAGATTTCACCTCACATAACTGTGGATTGTCAGTATAAAGGTAGTTAAGGTCAATGCTTAATGACCATACTGATTCATCACCAAATGTTTGTTTACTGTCCTTAGAAGAAGAAGATTATATCTGCTGTTTTTGGCAAATCGTGCCACTTTAACACACATTTTTCTCTCTTCTTAGAAATTTACCCCACCCCCTAATAAGCTATTAATCAGAAATCAGTGGACTAGTGTAAGTCTGTGGGAGATGAGATGAAGATCTCTGGAGACACTTTTCATCCCATTTTACTCCTTTTATGGGACCTTAGCTTCTTTTATAACAGCTCACTATTTAATAGCCGCTGTCATTTTAGCCTGGAAGTTCAAAAGACCTATAAATTGCTTGACACAGCTTATCTGTCACAGAACAGGAAGGCTACAATAAAATATGATAATGAATTAGTAATCAATAATAGCTGGCAAGGTTTCTTCTTGCTCTCCCCTGTGAGACAGCTTGAGTAGTTGGACCACCAGAGGGTTTGTGTCTCAGAGTAGAGGACCGCAAGACAGAGCTAAAGTTTTGGATTTTCTCCTAAAATGTCCTGTAAAGACATTTTTCATAGCTCAGACTGTTGTTTCATAGCCTTAACTTCTCTGTAGTTAGATTCAAATGAGAAGACCTAGAAAGGTAGGTCTGATAGGACATCAAAGCTGTTATTACTTTAATTGACATGACTTTTAGCCAACCTGCAGACGATGAATAGCTTTTTTGTTTGTGATGGGGTATTTTTCCTGAGGAGGAAACAAAAACACATCTCAGCACATTCTCTTTTAACCTCGCCCAGATGTGGAATAGGTTAGAGGTTTCTGGTTACTGTCCTGCTTACCTTCTGTTTTTTGTCTGAATATAGAGAGTGTCCACTCCTGATTGTGGTCTCAGCATCTAATGATACTAAAAAAGTGAATCAAGGGCTTTTTCTGTGTGCTCAAGAATGAGCAGCTTGAATTACTTTGTGCCTACTCCTTCCTATCTCAGGGCTGTCTCAAGGTTAGCCTGGAAGGCTGTGAATGGTTGGCAGTTCAATATGCCCCAAACAGCATGAATGCACACACTTCTTTGAATATGTGAGTTAAAAATCAATCTGTCTTTATCACGGAACCATCTAGCACTGTATTAAGTAGTGTGACAAATATCTGTCACATGAACTTAATTTCCTCTCTGTTTGATTTGTTTTCACTCATTGATGCCTAAACCGTATTAACTATACAGCCTCAGAAGATTTCTTATTGTACTTTCTTTTCTCAAAGACCTATAGACATGCTGGACACTGTATGTCCATCTGCCACTGCTGCTACTGTCATGTCTTGGAATGATAAATGCTGCTATTTTCCAGTAGGTATAGGGACAACACTTTGAGTCCTAAGGGGTGGGACAATGAATTATGAAGCATCAAGTAGCTAACAGAGATCTTCAACACTGCCTTTTTCAAGCTCCCATAGCTGCTGCATATGAAAGAAGTGGCATAAGACTTTTCCTTGGCTTGGGTGCTGTGCTCCACAAGGTGTGAGTGATTCCCATGGATGAATTCAAGCATATCACAGGAAGAACTGAATCACAGAATGGCTCTGTGGAAATATTTTCCTGCAAGATTTGAAATATCTTATTTACTGCCTTACAAATAAGGATCAACACCATTCTTCAAATCCCAGTAACATCAGTGAAAGCCTGCTGTATATGTGGATGCTGTATGGCTTCCATATGGGGAGGAACTCTTCCCAATCCACTGGTTTGACAAAGAGGACTGCTGCTGCTAAAGAGCAGTCTAAGGTAGATGATTTCAATTGTTGCTGCTAATAAATGTGGGCTAAATGGGTAGCTGCTAATAAATGTGGGCTGCAAAACCATGTAAAGGGATGCTCAAGGGATGATGCAAAGTGGTATTAAAGCTGAGAAAACTCAGAGGTGTGTTTGGTGCCAAGACAAGTTTACCATGGGTGGTAGAACATACAGAGTATTTTAAAAGAAATAACTGTTATATACATTCGTGCCTCCTATATTAAA